TGTGAATGGTCTCCGTGGCAACTCAGAGCCCAGCCAGGATGGAGTGGGGAGCAGTAGCACTTATGGGATGGAGAGAGGACCCCCCACTCTCCCACATCCCCCTGCTCCAGGACCTGAGCTGCTGGCATCTGCACACAACCCCAGCAGCCTTCCCCGTGGAACCTCCCTCGAAGCCCCCTGGACTGATTCCCACCCACAACTCACAAGCATTCCTCTAACAGCCCTTTTATTTCCTCCCCTACCCCACTTCCCAAATACAGAGGTCTGCTTTGAAGTGGAGACTGTTTCCAGGCCTTATTGAGACCAGGCCCCCGAGTCCCCCACCCCACCCTGCTATGGCGTTTCCTCTAACAGGGACCGGCTTCCAGCTTCACCCCCATGGGGTTCCTCTAACAAGGACCAGCTTCCTAACCTAACAGAGACCAGAGGCCCTCTGCGCCTGGAGGGGGTTCCTCCCCTTTCACTCCAGCTTGCCTGCCTTCCCCCTTGCCTTCTGCTTCCAGCGGGGCCTGGGAGCGAGGTGGGGGATGGACTCAGCACTTCCTTAGCTTTCTCCAGGCCTGGCGAGAGGCCTTGCCCCAAGGCCCCCTCGTCCTAAGGCTGCCAAGCCCTGGGCCTCGCCTGTGCTTAACCGCCCTGCTGCTGTCCTGCCCAGGGTAGGTGCAGCCCCCGAGGACTGGCCTACCCCCGATGTCTTCCAGGGAGACCGCTGTGTGTGTCTGCCTGCTCAGCTCGCCCAAGTCCACTCTGGAAGAGAATGTAAAATAAATCTGGCTACCAGGGACCTTGCTGTTCTGTTCTGTTCTTTTGGCTCCTCCTGCTTAGAATTATGGGAATTCTGTCTGCAGCGGCTGTGCTGGGAATCAGGTGGGCTGTGAGTGAATGTGTGTGTGTGGTGGGGGGAGGCTGGAAAGGCACCATTATTATCTCTAAAGATCTCAGGTCTCAGGCAGGACTGGGCAGCCCCAAGGACTGGGCAGCTGTCTGGCGAGCAGTGCTGAGAGAAGGACGGAGGTCACGGGGACCAGGGCAGGGCCTGATGGTGGGGAGAAACCAGAGATGGGAGCTGAATGTGGCCTTGTTTGCGGGCTGTTTGGTTCTGGAGCCGCCATGGGCTTACTGGCCTAGATGACATATTTCATTTTGTTCTGCTCCTAATGTTTTCCTTCTGTGTGCTCCATTTCCACACCGAAGCGCTCCTGTGTTTATTTACTTTCTTTTTTGGGCTCGGGTTTTTGAGCAATCGATTGCAGGAAACTGGGAGTGGTGGGGCACAGCCAGCCCAAGTGACTCCTCTGGACTAAGGGCAGAATCCTGGGGCTTAGTGTTTCCTGTGGGGCAAGGGTGGGGACCCAGTCTGGGCCTGGCTGCTCTGACAAGGAAGAAAAGCTCCATTCCTTGGCCACTGCTGGGAGTGGAGTGGGGTGTAAGGTGTGGCCCACATGTTATCTGATGTCAGCCTCCCAACAGGCAGGTTATGATTCCATTTTACAGGAGGAGAGACTGAGGCTAAGAAATTAAGTGGTCTGTGTGGCATCATTATAAAATGCTGAAGTCAGGTCTGATGACTTGCCACTTCACACAGTCTACCAGCTGCCTGGGAAGTCCTGGTCCAGAGGCTCTGGGGAAAGAAGGTCATGGGTGAGGTCAGGGACTTCCCTGGGGCAGCCCTGAGCCGGGCTTCTCTTTCTTCCTGGCAACCCTGTCATTTAGGCCTGTCACTTTGGGCACCCGCACCCCAGGTGGGTGGGAAAAGGTGTTGGTGTTTAGTTCTGTCCAGACGGGTGGGAGAGGCCAGTGAATGACAGGGCTGTGGCTGGTGCTGGGCAGGTTCCTCGAGTATGGGTGCAGCCCGGGCCCCATTGGTGGTTAAACAACACCTTGAAGGACAAGACCTGCACGTGCTCCTCCGTCCATTCCAGCCACCCCAGTCCTCAGCCTGGGCTGCTGCTAGGTTGGCAGGTCGAGCCCATCCTGTGGAAGTGACCATTCAGGAACCCGCCTGTTCCTGACCACCCCCCCATCCCAGCTCCTTCACATTACCTGATGCCCTCATCAAGGATATGGAGGGTGTGGAGGGGGGGAGGGTGTAGCTCAGTGGTGGAGTGCAGCTTAGCATGCACAAGGTCCTGGGTTCAATCCCCAGTTCCTCCCTTAACAAATATATAAATCAGTAAACCTAATTACCACCCCCCAAAAGAATATCAGAGTTGAGCCTTCCTTTCCTTGGGGTAGAGACCAAATCCAAATCTGCTCTTTGGTGGGGCCCTGGAGCATCTGCAGCAAATCAACCCTGGGGCCTGCTGACATGTGTGACTCCTTCTGTGCCTGGACCTGGCACAAGGTGGGAGGGGCAGGGGTGGGGGATGAGGGGACCTGGGAGTTCAAAGCCAGAAAGGAACTTAGGCCACCAGGGATGCTCATCCCAGTGAGATGAGTGATCACCCAGGACCACAAAGCGGCTAAGACGCCCTTCTGTCCCACAGGGTCACACTCTGGGGTTGACTGACTTTGCTGTAATTCTGTGACTGCACAACCCATGGAGAAGAAATCCTGCAGATAAACCGGCAGATCTTTCTAGAGACTGTCCAAGGCAAAATCTGAGCACAAAGAGGTACAAAACTGTGTCCCTTCCACAAGCTGGCAGGACAGTGGTGGGTGGCAAGGAAAGGAACATGAATCCATTCAATGATTCAAACCACAACCTTTCAACAAAATTGTACTGAATGCCTGCTGCGGGCCAGGCACGGTACTAGGCTCTGGGAATGGAGCAGCAAACCAACCCGAAACACACCCTGCCCTCCGAGGAACAGGCAGCTTTACGTGGAGGGCAATCTGCACAGCAGGAGGGGAAGCTATGTATCATTCCCAGTTTACACATGGGGAAACCGAAATGGAGGCCCAGAGGGGTCGAGGAAAATGCCCAAGGTCACACAGCTAGGAAGAGGCAAGTCTGGCATTTGACGCTAGGTCTGTGTGGCCCCCAGGCAGCACCACCCCTACCTGCAGCATCCTGCTCCCTCAGGGGCTTCCAGCTGGGGAGGCAGAACAGGTGCGCCAGGCAAAGAGGCCACACCGGGAGACACCGGACTTGTTAGTGGGGGAGTGGCTTACACACACCACAGACAGAGGCTGTGGGAGGCCGGGACAGGGGAGGTAGCTGAGCGGGAGACGGGCTGGTCCGCGAGCCCAGAGAGGATGAGACAGGGCATAGGTAGGCAGATGGGTGGTGAGGACACTCCTTTCAGAGGGAACTGGGAGGGAATGACTCACACCTGAGGCAGGCAAGTTACAGCTGTGCCCACAGGTGTGCTTCCCTGGAAACAGGCCAGCTGACAGAGTGTAAATTAGAGACCAGCAGGAGATGGGAGACCCGGCTCTGACGGGCCCTGAAGTCCCCAGGCTGAGGGTTGCCAGGTTTGGTTCTGGGGAAACCATTTGCCAGATGGTTCTGCGCTGGTGCCTGGGGCCTCTGCTTGGCTGTCCTCTCCTAATCTCTGAGGCCTGGGTTCCAGGTGGTTGACAGAGGGCTGGGGGCACGGGGGACCAGGGCCAGTGGTGCCTGTTGGGACTAGAGGACCTCCGGCAGGGCAGCAGAGGAGGTGAGAGGACAGCCCCAGCCCACAAGGGAGAGGGACCTTGGTGGCCCCTGAGGGGGCCAGGTCACCTCCAGCCAGGAGTCTCCTGTCTTCGAACCGCCTCCTGGGCCTGGCTTCTAGCCCTGAGTGGAGCAGGCTTGGGGTTCATCTCGGGCAGGAAGCGCCGCGCAGCCAAAAGAACCGCAGCGGCCCGCTGCCACCGCCCAGAGAGCGCGCTGGCCCGGCAGGAAGGCGGAGGGGCGGCCCCTGGTTTGGGATTTGTGGGTGTCGGGGCTGCATCTGCTCCAGCGTCAGAGAGCCTGGAGTGGGCGGAGGAGCCGGGCGGACCGCAGACAGACCCAGCCGGCCCTCCGCCCCGGCCCTGGGCTGGGGGTGAGGGGTGCTGAAGAGCCCTTT